GAATTGATCCTCTGTAAGTGACTGCAATTGAAATTTTTCACACTCACGGTTGACGACACCGGCAAAAGTGACGTAATCGTCGGCGTCGCGCTTAGCCAATTTGAGACAATTGTATCGAACATTAAAAAGTGAATGTTGCGCACCGAAAATTTCACAGAGTTGTTCCACTGTTTGTGCAAAGTTTAGATCCTTTGGATGTTTGGGAAGAATAAAGTTCGTGAACCGATCGTGCTCGAGGGTTCCAAGTTTCCGGACCAAGAGACGGGATTCCCACGCATCATCTTTGTCGGTTAACTCGTTCTGAAAAGTATCTCCCCAGCTACTGTACCATGAATCGAATATGAGACCAGATGGTGGTTCGTAGAGGAATTCCGTAAGAGTTGCTGCGATAGAATCGGCAAAGGATAATGAAGTACCAATTTGAGAAGGAACCGATGTCTGAAGACTGATAGCTTGGGTAGGAGACTGAATAAGTCGCAGTTGCGATTGTTCGAACTGAGCATGTTGCTGTTGAAGGATTGCTTTCAAATCCTCAGCTGAAATTGACATGTTTGTGTTCGCGTTGGGTTCCCGTCGCCAGTGTTATATCCCTTTCGTTGCTATATCAGTCAGGCACGTTAGATCACCGGAATGGAGAAGACAAACAACTTCGAGGAAGTTATACTGCGAACAAGTGGATCGTTCCGTGGTATGGAGTTCAACTGAACCAGAATGTAAAAAGAGCTAACAGTCCAATAGGATGTCAGTGAGGGGCTGAAATATAGAAAGAAAGTTTCAGTATACAAACAAATCGTTTAGTGAATTGGATTTGTTCGTTTGGAGGTAGTCCTCCTAACACACATTTCGTGTTGTTGCCTACCCTGAAAAATATGGTCATGGGACGCAGCAAATGGTAGTCCTTCGTCAAGGCTATCACATTTCACTGTGTGGCTTTCTCAGCCCCTCGGCCAAACGAAACCATTTAACGTCAATGGACTGGCAGGTCCATCGCCTCCCACAGTTATCTTTCATCCCATTATTCTTCGATGAGCAAAGCCGTAACAACTGGAACCACTGCACTTGGGCACAACTTTTATGGCCAAAGAACTGACTGACGGGCTATGTGGTTTAAAGAAAGAAAACTAATCTTGAAGCGGAGGACTTGCTTGTTGAACAATTACGAAAACCGTCGTTTCCCCAATTCGATTCGATACAATTTATCAGCTATAAACCGTGTGCCATAAGCACATTAGTTCCAGCTGCTACAGTTTCGACCACCGGAAAACAAGGAAGTGGAACATACAACCAAGCCTTGGAGAAGAAGGCATGTTAAGTTTTTCGGAAATTGGGTAGCTACGCATTAAAGGCAATAGCTTTCATGCGCGAGCGCCACTGACTGCGCAGCTGTGCTATTTCCGCCGATGTCATTAATTACTGTTGATTTTAATCCCGGGGTCCCCATCAAGGGAGGCGGAAGTTGTTCACCCGACTAGGTTTATTGGTTAGTGTTTTCACACTTTGTTGCCAGGTCATCACTGTCCAACTCTCGGTCACTTCCACTCAGCACAGGGCTGAGAGAAAAGAGCTCTGCGATGCAGACAGTCATCTGGCATGCGGAGTACATATCCCAACTAACGCAACCTATGAAGCGTGAGAAATTCATCTATCGCGGGAGAGTTTCTTCTTCCTATGACAGTCTGGCGTACCTCAGCATTCCCACCAGATCTGACCAATGCTGTGGAGACACCGATGATCGAACACGGACATCTTCCGTATGTCCTCTGCGCATAGGGGCCACGTCTTTGATCCGTAAATCAGTATGGATTGCAATACCGCTATGTGAACTCTTTCCTTGGCGGACAAGCTCACGTGACGTCAGCGCCATAGGTTCGTAGGTTGGCGAAGACTCCCCTGGCCTTCCTGACTCGAGAAATAGTCTCATCTCCAGCCAGTCCACCGGAACTTATACAGCTGCCCCGGTGAAGGAATTTATCTACCAGGTCGATTGGCTCACTTGCAAACATGAGTCGTGGATTTGATCCCACCCAGTCTTGCAGCAACACTTTACCTTTTGCCGGTGTGAAGCGTATGCCAAACCGTGCGGCAGAGTTATTTAGGTTATTTAAAATCGTTTGCATTCGGGAAGGATCTGAACCAAGGAGAGCAGTATCGTCTGCATACCCAATGTATGTGAGGGAACGTCTCGGGAGCATTTCGACTCCCGAGGTCTCAGAGGCAGGCAGGGAAATCTCAAGCAGCATATCAATAGCAAAGTTAAAGAGGAAGGGGGAAAAAGGGTCGCCTTGTCTTACACCACTGGACGTGGTGAAATCGGGCGAGAGCTTACTGTATAGTGGTACGCTCCCACAGATGTTTGAATCGAAAGCTTTCTCCATCTTCTGGACCTTCGAAATCCACCAGCGTTTTCTGTCATTCTTCGAGCTCCTGCTTGTCCGGTGTTTGAGGGATCCGCTTGCACCATCATAGTCGCTAGTTGCTGGTATGGCCTTTCTTGCAGCAATGAGGTCTGCTGATCTGGTATCCGGTGTTCAAGTCAAGTCAGATGGGCTGGAAAAACAGTTCTGAAAGCTGGCAGCATCGCTTCTTTAACTCGCCTCGATTCATCCTCCAAGCGATATTCGTCGTCTACATGACTGCGTTTCCAATAGCTTTCTAGCTATATCAGCTCGATACTCTTCAGCTACTGAAACTTAACAAAGTTGATTATCAGAACTGCTCTCTTCCGGCACGCGTAGTGCTGGCTGAAAGCGAAGTACTTAGCGGGCTTGCACGATGGCGTGATCAGATTCAATTTGCGTACCCCAGAAGGAACGACAATCCTTAACTGAGGCTCTTCATCGGTAACTGATAGCCATATGGTCCAGTTGAGTCCACGACTGTGTGGTGGCAGGTGACCTACAAGTAACTCGGTGTGTGCGTTTGTGTTGGAAGTTCTTGCTGGTCAGGAACAGCCGATCATCCGCACACAATTGAAGAGGCCGCTTTCCATTATCCGTACGCTCAGCATCGACACCAAATCGGCCACCTAACTGTGCTTCTTCCGGACTTGGTCGTCCAACGTGGGCATTCATATCACCCGCCGGGATTGCTATATCCAACCCTGTTGCCTACCGAAGCAGTCGCGACAGATCTTGATAAAGTCCATCCTTCTCAGTCTCAGAACATACATGTTATATACGACGCGCTGTACAAGTTTTTTTGATCTGGTTTGGGCAGTGATATACATGGTGAACCTTTGACGGGGATGCTAGCCCTGGAGTTTCAGACCGAGAACTAAGCTGAGGAAATTACCGCTATTACATATTTCCTTGTAGCGTTGGCCATGGTATTCAGGGAGGCAAATTACAAACACGTCGTCGGCTGGGGTATCCTGTCGAGCGCTGAGACCGTCGTTGCTTTTTCTATTCGAAGTGCAAATCAGCATAATGTGTGGTCGTCCAGAATCGACTCGTCGCTAACATCTCTGATGCGCCCAGATTAGAAAATCTGTAAGATGTGACAGTTAATTCCAAACATGTGTTCTCCGATGTGGAGGCTCTCCCACTCGTCCGCGCGCATAACAGAAACTTCCCATCTTCTCCGTTCACTGAACTATGTTGATGGAACTGGCTAGGTCACTCTCTAAGTGCCTCATTTGCTCTACTGTTGAAACACAAATGGACCTGCCGTATGACTCAGATGAAACTCCCGATTCACTAACCGAAATTCCAGTTAGACCGATATTTCAAGACCAATCAATCACCCACTCGTGCTCGTCGGTAAGACATAGCTGACGATTTTCAACCAGTTTTCCCTCACTTCATCGCCAGTGTTTACCATGTTTGCATATTGGGTTAGTTTGACCCAAAAGAGTCCCGCAGGCACCAGTTTTTCCATCTTGAACGGATCCTAACCCTCAGTGGTTATCAGTTAATTCTGGCTAATATTTCCCTATTTGAAGACAGCCTTTGTGTGGTACAACCGATGCACAAAATGAAACGCTACAGGTTTATTCGAGTTCAGCTTTCGCGCATTCCCAGAGGAGTTGGAGTAGGTCAGGTTTGGTCGAATTCTGTAGCATCCACTAGCTGAGCATACTGGGGAGGTTGGGCGATTCAGGTAGCTAGTGGAGCCGCGAGTGGAATCAAGATGTCAAAAATAAACAATGCTTGGATTCACCCTCTGATTGCATTAAACATCTGATGCGGTTTGCGTGGCGAGTCAATTATCTCATGTTTCTCAGGCAGGTTACCCTATACCATGGATCTTTCGTAATGCTGTCAGTCGAAACGCACAAGTTGGCGGTGGTCAACGATGTCGCCAAGTTGTGTCCCTTTTGAACCACAATGACACTGTCTCCGTTGTTTCCAGTTAAGTCGATCGATTGGAACTTTGCAAGTTCTGGTGACAGTAGCGCAACAAACCCCAGATACCTTCGGTTTCGTTGTTCGCTTTGTCACCCTAAACTTGACCACTTGTTCTAACGTTGTTTGTGCTTTTTTTGTCACACGCCTTCCCTCATTTAGCCAAGAAGAATTGAACTTCCGTGAATTTATGCGCAAATTGGCCCGCTTTCGAAAAGTTAAACCTTCACAGTCAACCGAGTACAACAGTCGAGAAGCGAAGCTACGCTTTTTGTTTGGTATGTACGATCTGGATATGGACAACATGATCTCGCGAAATGAATTGCTGGGCATGTTGCAAATGATGGTCGGAGCCAATGTCACAGTGGAACAGGTGAGTACGTGTGTGTGTGTGTGTGCGTCAAATCTACCGGTACTGATAGAAAAAATCATTCAGCTGTAGCACACTTTAGTGCCCAGCTGTCATGGCACCACAAAGCAGCTTTAGGGCTCAGGTTGCCCAAGCCAGGACAGGGGAAGTTGAGATGTAGGGGTCGGTTATCGAACCACGCACCTGAGGAAGCTATCAGCGTATCAGGAGAAGCGAGCGACTACCTGTTGGATTTACAGCCCATGTTGTTTGCGCAATGCACTCGGTTTTCGAGAACACCTATCTGGTTTTCTCAACAACCAAGTGAAATGTCGGTGAGCACAAAATAATTATAAGGCCTCCATAGAACGTAGCTTTTATACGCTTTGTGAGCTTGATCTAGTGTGCCAAACAGTTCTATGTTGGGTTCGCAAAGGGCACTGAATCAATCCTATCGATGGCCCCGTTTGCAACTCAATGTTCAGATGTGTGTGTATCTCATCGTTTCCCCTCGTGACCGTTTTGCGACAAATTTCACTGCTCATTATGGCTTCCCCGCGTTTGTGCGGTAGTTACGTACCATTATGTATTGCCACCCTTGACAACGAATTCTCTCCAAAAGCCAGACAAACTACGATTTTTAAACTGAATTAACTCTACCAGTTCACAGTCGTTGACGATTCAAGCATTGTACCAAAGGCTGCAATGCTTGGCGTTGGTTTCGCCAGCATGCGGATTAAGTCTACACCGTTTAGGAGAGAGAATAACAGCGTGTTTCGATCTGACGTTTGAAGAGCTTGAGATTACGTTCAAGGACACATCAAGGCTCGTTTTAAGCCGATGACACACCGCTGTGGGCTCAGTGGTTAGCGCGCGAATTTAGCGACCGGAATGTTCGTAGTTCAAACCTGGTCTCTGCATCTCGACTTCCCCTGTCTAGGCTTGGACAATCTGGCGATATCCCAAGCCTCGAGCTTCCTTTGGGTGGCATGGCATCTAGGCTGAACATTTTTTTCATTTTCTATAACATGAGGTATTGGCATATCATCCACGCGTAGACAGGTTATTTAGACACTACAGAATTCATACCTTTGTCCTCTCCTCCCAATTGTTTGGATCCCGCTTTTTGCCAAAATTGGTTCGAAGAGTGAAGCCACGAATAGTGTTTGAGCACTGAGGTAACAGCAGAATATTCCTTGTCAAATGAACATCACCATTGTGGACTTCAGTGTTTTGTGCCTGTTCCGTGAATTCAGTCCGTGGTCTGTGCTCTGGTTGGTGCCACTTTCTGGCTCAACACAACCATAAATGAAATCGATGCGTTTTGCATCCACGTCGTCTGTGGCGCCTGGCGATGGGGACGCAACTGGAACAAAGTATAAGGCAAACATTTCGGATCCCCCTGCCTGGACTGGTGTGATTGGAAACATCAGCGTTACCGCCTTATCCACCAATGGAAGTTAAGCTGAATGAAATAGAGAAGCAGAACAGGTACCAGCAAATAAAGTCATAGATCACCAACTTACTCCTAGTCCTTGGGGGCGAGATGGCCCAAGTGGTTAGAGCGCGAATTTACTGACCGGAAGGTTCGTGGTTCGAATCCGACCTCCGCCACTCGACTTCCCCTGTCTAGGCTTGGGCAACCTGGCAGTATTCTAGCCCTCGTGCTTCCTTCGGGTGGCATGGCGGCTAGGCACCGGAAGGATGCTACAGCCGAACGCTTCCTAGTCCTTTGGCTCCGTTACCTTACAAATCTGTGTATGATCACCGTCAGCCAGCTAACATGGCCATCGAAATCTTTCCTCTGAACCACTTACTTGATGTTTACTAAATTTTACGCGCACAATTCACAGTATATGGCTTGAATATTCGGTAGGGTGTGTGTTGTCTGCAGAGAGAGGATTAGTGGGGATCGCGGGATAGGGTTCGAACCAACGGACCTTCCGATAAGTAAGTCTGTGCCTTTAACACTGATGAATCCCGAGTTCCGTCGACATCTGCGGAACACCGTGTGAACTCTTTGCAAAGTCGGCCTTTCATATACCTCCTCATTCGGCCATACGTAGGTTGATGTTCTCCCAATTCACGGAGTACGGATGTCCTGACCAGTAGACCCAGTTGCGTGGGCGACGGCCTGCTCCCCGGACGGTGACCACAGAACGGCACCTACTAAAGGCCAGCAACAAGGAGGATAATCTCATAGCAACACTCGAATTGGTTTGACCAATGCTTCCTTTATTTCTGGTTGTTAACGAATGGAGTTGCTGCAACAGAAACCAATCAGTTATATCTATGAAAGTGAAACGGGTGAATTCATGTTTGCCGTATCCCTTTCCGAAATCCCAGATCAATAATATCGGCGACCGAACATTGGCCGAAGCCGATTTGGATGGAGACGGGTATATATCCTATGAAGACTTTGTCCGAGTAAGTGCTTCGCTTTCTCTGACTTGAATTGAGTTTTGCATATATTTTTCTTTCTGGCGATTGAGTAAGAAGATGGCACCGCGATTTGTTCCGCACGAATGTCTCGTCAACTATACGCTTATGCAAGTAATGCGTACCAGTTCTGGTTTTCGTCACCCAATTTAAGTGAGCTGAACGCACTAGAACTGCCCAATTTTTCCGTAGTTGTATCGAGTCCTGAGAACTTAGTCTCTGTAGCTAGCTAGCCGCATGCACCATGGTCTTGTTCCATCATGGCTGACAAAATTAAAGGCACTGGCGAAACCATTCCTATGAGTCAGCTTAAAACAAACCAAAGTAACCGCGTATCATGTCTTCTCGGTCAAACAATGACTTGGCAGCAAACTGTGAAAGCCACTACCAGTAAACTCAGCTGCGCTGGTCACTGCCGTCTTCCTGGGTGGGGACCCCGAGACGGGCCACATAAATGGTTAGAGGCATTGTCAAACATGGCCCAGTCGCGCCCTCAATGGCGCTCGTGCATCCAAGCTATTGCCTTCAATGCATAGCTCCTTTTCCAATCCCCCT